AAAGATGCAAATTCCTTTTCCTGTGCCTTTTGGCATTGCACCATCGCAAACCGTGTACGTTACATTTTCGTCTCTGATTAGGTAATGAATGAAAAGCATTGGTTTCGGACATTTTAATGTATCAGATTGTTTGACCTAATTCACATCTGACCGAATCAAAAACTGCCTGAACACTAGAATCCCAGCTTGGCTTGGTTGGTCTTTTGAATTATTTGATGGAGAATCAGGTCAGTGAATTTGATCGAAGAGTCAACTGCACCGACCTCTACAAATTACACTAGAGTTTGTGCTCAATCAGATATGGTTCCTAGACCTCGCATACAAAAACTCCAAATTCATTTCGCCTCATGTTTTTAAAGGTTTAACCAATAATTGGAGATATGCGTAACGACTTGCCACAAGTTCATAACACCTGCGACCGTGTCACGTGTGCGTAACTACTGGCAATGAGTCGAAATGTCGGACAATCGAGTTCCGTTTATAGAATTGTTGACAAAGCTGAATATTACAGTATATTGGATCGTTCAAACTGACACATTCTTCAAGAGGAATAAAAAAAACACGAAGTCGATATTGCTGTTTTTCCAATTCTGTCCCTAACAGGAATCAGCTGTCGACCATTACGTCCAACCGGGAGCTTCAACGTCACTATAGTAACGTCAATATGGTAAAGCATTAAGGACAAGGACTTACTGCCTTTTTTCAGGGAATGAGAGTTGAGGTGTGAGATGGAAGGTGAAGGTGATCGTGGCCTTTTTTAACTATCACAGCTACGTTTTATTTATGTTTAGGAATTGAATTCCACATTAGAAGAAAATTGCATATCGTGTTTGGTAGTGACTACGTAACATATTTACTGACAGAAGAAGAATATCGATCAGTCGAGTTAACACAGGAGCTATGCGTCAAATAGCTGAGTTGAGATTCAATTCGGCTTGAGTTCACGTGAACCGCTCCGCGAATTCCTATGACGTTAAAGCCATTCTGTTTTAAGGAGTGTTTGTCCCTTCATTCTGACACGATGAGAGAACGTGCTGTTGGCATTACGACCGACATGATATCTTTCTACTGTTTCAATGAATCATGAAAGAATCATTGCAAATATCATCTGCTGGATTTGAATATCAGTAATTCGGCCTTCCCATCGACTTAACCGATTCAGTCATTGTGGCCGGTTGATTCTTTAGAATGAAAGAGAATAAGCCTTAAGTAAAATGAAACGTATCATTTTTATATTTAAAACAAGTTGCTGTTCTTTTAGATGGTAGATTTGCAAAGGTATATTTAGTAGAGAGTAGTCTAAATGGAATAATTGAACATCATCAGAAACTTCTTTCTATAGTTTTTTTCACCAATGTCAAAAGTATAACGCCTCACATAATATGATAGATGAATTATGTTTTAAGCTTACCAAGGGAAACATAACTTACTTTAAGCTTAACAAGGAAAACTAACTTTCATTTAAGCCAACGCAAATCTTTCATGTAAGATTTCCCAACATATGACCACTTTCTTGAATATCAAGGTTTACATACCTATTACATGTAACTAACATAGTGGATCTGCTGATTGGCGGAGAATTTCTCGTACTAATTAGCTTCTATCGCATCAGTCTGGGAAAGCTCTTCGGTTTTGCGACTACCCTTTTCTCAGCTGTCTTTTATTACCGCCTTAATGTCATTTTTTTCACGGTAACACGACAGTTGTGGTGGCGACAATTGTTGTAATAGATAACAAAAAAGACCCACTCTACGCGTTGATAGCAATGCGCATAATTCTTTTTTATGGTTAGAGAAAAAAGATTTGTGTACGAAGTTGAAGTAAGAAACGACATGACACTTTTTTCGATAACCACGAAACGTAGAGATGAAATAAATAATGATTCGTTCTAGAAGTATTTTATATAGTAAATACTTTTGTTTATATTTGTTGAAGAAAATGATTTTTTTCACATCTCTTTTTTACCGTCGGCCTTTCTCTCTCGAAAACAAACACAACAATCTTGATCGTGCCAAAAGATCATTTCACATACTCAATCTAAAAGTTCCCTCGACTTGTGTCTAAGGAATAATAGAGAAACAAGTGTTTCCAAGAGAAGGAATTTTTTTTGTAGATGTACAACTGTGCCATCAGATAATTCTACGTTGTAAATTTGTACCAATTTCCGGTGCTTCATTTTCGATCGCCAGATTGTCGAACACGCTAGACAGTTTTAGATATGGCGATTTGTTTTGATAAATACTGCAATATGAAAGAAAATAGAAGAGAAACACCACAGGTGCATATTTATCTGCATGCACAACCTTGTTAACCAGTTTGTTTCACCAGACATGTTAAGAATCCACAGCATTGGGCCTTTAAAGCACAGAGCATAAACTTGTCGCGCCTCTATTCCACCAATCCAGGGCTGTAAATCTTGGGCGCGTTCAGTACTAAATCGTTCACGATCCAGCCATAAAAGTTCTTACTCAACATCCACCGAGTTAGCTGACAATGTCTCAATACACAACACCTGGGAGCGAAATCTCAGCTGCAGAGATATGTGATTCCCTTGTTTTTTCCTGGAGAACTAACCCTTTTCACTTATAAGTAACTTGTACAACGTATTTCTAATTGTTTTCATAGTTCTAAAGCTGTAGAGGCAACGAACATTAAATGAAAGTATTATGTTATTTCTAAATTTCGCATAAATAATTTACGTAGTGGTCATCGTGAAAGAGCAGAGAGAACAAAAAGGCAGCATTGACCTCAACGCAAGCTGGTGTTAGATAATTATTATTAGAAGAAGAGATAGTATTAACTATTTTTCGGCTTTGGAAAGAAAAGTATGTGTGCGAATTTTTATCTTCGAAATGTGATCATAATTTTGTCCAGAAAAAAGGAAATCATTGTATTAATATTTAGCAATGATTGGAATTAATTTTTCCAGATTCTTTCCTTAAAGCATTTTGGTTCATGCCATTAAAATATGCAGTGCAAACATTTAAGTTTTCTATTTATTTTACATCGCTTCATAACTCCTTGGTAATCAGCGAAATGAATTACACAAATAATTTTATTTATACATATTTTACCATTGTATCAACAAAGGTTTTTTTTAAAAATGCATTACCATCATTTCAAGAAACATTAATTTTAACAAATTTTATCGTTTAATTAATTTTGCAAGTAGAGAATCTTTTAACAGATGGATAATTTTGCTCTGTTCTAATGAAGGGTTGAGCACAGACACATATACACACACACACATTATATATATATATATATATATATATATATATATATATATATATATATATATACATCCGTACGTACACAGTATGAGTACAGTTAGCGCACCACTTACAAGTATATGACGTACAGCAGAGTTTGGATGTTGAGGAAAATAAACTACCGACATATTGAATTGGAATCTCTGAACTTGAAAGAAGACTTGCTGGAGATTCTTGATGTCAACGTTTCGCTTGATTCATTTCTCGTATACCCCCATCAATAAAAAAAGAAGTTGCGAGTTAGCACCAGCTTCCCTCCCCCCGACGCCTGCCCGCCTGTGCGCGTGTCCACGCGTGCTGTAAGTGGAGCAGGCCTCTTGGCGGAGGTCGGGAGCGGGCGGTGAGGTGTGGGCGCTCCCCGCGGCGCGCTGTGCTGTTGTTCGCGTGCGCGCGCCCGAGGCGATCCGATCCGCTGCCAAGGAGGCTCTGGCGGACCTCGCTCGATGCGCTTCTTCGTTGCGATGACAATCACTGACGAGTTAGGAGATCACCGATAGCATCGAATGAAAGAATGTCTAAAACATTAAAGGGGGGTGTCGGCGAATACTTAGAAATGCAATTAAGTATTGTACATAAAATTAAACTGCCTTATTAAACTAAATTAATAATTACGTAACTTCTGATGGTTAAGATAACCTTGTTATGTTACTATTAGTTGGTGTGTGGCAGAACGGAAAACTTCTGCTTCAATAAAGTCTTAAAGAAAATCATAAAATACATCTCAATTCGTTTTTTTTAGACCTGTAATGTACTGACTATTACTACAGAATCGTAGCACGCGCCATTGAAGTATTGTACTTCATTTTAAAACAGAATTTCAAAACCGAAATTGGATGAAATGTATAAAATACCATGAAAGGATACGATAATTTTTAATCTCCAATAAAAACATTTCTACAGTGAAAAATTTAAAAGATCGAACTTCTTTCATAAACGAGCAGTTGAATAATCCAGTAAATAATGTAAATCGAATTTAGATTGGTTCAGAATGTGATGGAGAGAAGTGTAGCTGGCAGACGCGTTCTGGTTTTACAAATAGTGTTGAAAATTATCTGTGCAAATGAACAAAAGCGTAGGTATAAGAAGAAATCAAACATCTCTAGAGTATTTTTGGCTGGGGCATATGGATTATAGGGCGAAAAGTCACCCCCCCATCAGAACTGCTGCAGAAGATTTTTTGAAAGTCGAGCCGTGTGTGGCCCAGCGATATATCGTACAGGAAGACAACACCTGCACTGGATATCGCGCGTCGCTTGTTATGAATGGTCCTTCGCAAATAGTTATCCTGTCAACATTACCCACCCAACGGGACCTATCCCAAACGGCAGATTCTGGTGGTGCTTCTAGTAAGGCAAAGTAGTGCAGCGCGTGGCATGTGTGCAACAATAAAGGTTTTCCCTGATTTTGTGTTTTTCTTTTGTTCACGTCCTAGGAAATGTTACTTTGTGAATGCGCCTCGTGGTAGACACTACATGGATTACGAAGGAAGAAAATGTCACTAGTAAATAATCCGGTATTGCATGTAATAAGCAAATAGTGCTTGTAGTTATGAATATACTTCAGTAATGAATCGTACACTAGTTGATATTAAAGGAAAGGAGTTAGATTGGTCATCCTTGTTGTAGTACCGTAACAGCAGAGATGTGATAGTGGTGAAACATGTTTAGATGAGGCCGAGGTGGAGAGTTATGAGTGAGTGGAGCGCATTGTATCCGGTGCACGTTCTCCATCGCGCATCCGCTCAAACCGGCCCCACCACTCCCCCGCGGCGCGCTTGTGCACTTGCAGATACCGCAGGGGAGGGGGCGGCGGCCGAGGCGCGGGAGGTGCAGGCAGGGCTAATGGAGACCGAGAGGGCAGTGGCCACACGGAGCTACCTCACATGAAAACAAAACAGAAATGAAAAAGAAATAAACACTAATAAATGAATAATCGTGGTAAAAAAGACAAACCATTTGTATATTAGTGGAAGGATTCTTTTGTTACAGAGGAGTAATTGGTGGAAAATGAAGCTTCATTTTTGTAATAAAAATAGCAACTTTCCTCTTCCTGAAGAGGTAATTGTCTACTAAATATTTTATCGTTTTATTAGCTATTTATGATATAAGGAAGAGTGGGAAATGAATGCCGACCTCTACATCTGTTCAGTCCTGGCCTGCGCCGACACTTCTCTCTGGGGCGGTCACGAAGTGTCGGGGATGTTCGCAGAATGGAGTCCGCCGCAAGAGTGATGGCAGCGGTGGCGGTGGTAGCAAGTAGTACTAGTGATTACGCTGTGGCAGAAGTGGAGACAGAGGCAACGCCATGATTGATGATGCAGTCGCTTAACGGCCCTGAAGTGCCTTCGGAGTGAAATGTGTAGGCTACATTAGCGAAGTGAATGTGACGCTAACGTATAATTCGATGGTAGGCGGGGCCCGAAATTGGGGGCTTCTTTGGGAGCCTTAGGACATCGAATGTTCAAACGAATGATGTCTGAAAAAATAAAAACAGAATCTGCTCTATTTTGTGATATTATTCCATAGATTTTGTCAGTATTTCAATATTATGTTCCTTTTATTTTCTTCTAATTTCCACAAAACCATTATTATGTAGCCATTATACTCTGTCAGTCAGGACACAAGGAAGATATACCTGTTTATAATCAATGGTGTTCTTACTCTCAATCATTAATGGTCGCATACTGTGAAATACAACAGAAATTATTTGTAGAATTGTCACGGTAATAATTTCATTTGTTATTTCCATCAATTCTATTTGATATGTCTGCATTCAAAACTATAAATTGTGTTATTGCACTGGTCAGACCAGTTATGTCAGTTCTTGATTCGTCTTCATCATCATTAGCACTCAATACATGTACAACATGAAACATTTATTTAACACTTGTTTCGCCGTCTCATACCCTTCTCCTAATATATTCTCTGTGAAAATCGATCAGGAATTGTTTCAAAGTTTATGTTGCATTGGCTAAATAAATATAATACTAGGCCTGGAGCAGAAGTACATATTCAACCTGTGGGAAAGATAAGATTTGAGATGCACAAGAGTTGAGGGGCAGTTTCTTTGACTACAAAATGCTGTTGTTATCCAGAGAACTAATAATGTTTTTTTATTTTTTTATTTAAATATTATTTTATTAATATTCTAATTACAATTATATAATAGGAACCGGTACTTTTTTGGATCCTTCTGGTCTCTAATAGTTCAGGAGGTAGAATATCGATTGTCCATTACTGAGTCGAGTACCTAACCAGTACCATAATTTTGCTATTTTCAAACCAACTCTACTGGAGCAAACTCCAACCTGGAATAAATTAATACAGCATAAGACGTAATTACAGTATAAGAAAAATTAAAAACGGCAATTTTATGAAAAGAAACTTTTCAAAAAGAAGTGACTAATGCACAGTTTTACAAAACGAATTTAGTGCAGTAGCTCAATAATTTTGTGAAAACTAAGAAAATGTTCTTAAAAGTGGACGATACTGCTGCAATACTTCTCTTTAATGAAACAGTTATAAATTATACCTTGTTATATCGGAGTTTTTGTGGGTTAGTAACCTTTTCCAAAATTATTCCTTCACAGGAAAGTGTACTTTTGTGGTTGTTAACTGATATGGAAGAAAAGTGATTTAGTCAATGTGACAGCAATCAAGCTACAGTTTCATTTCAGAACGATAAGGAACCTCGATTAACAACCAGTCAGTTGCAGTTCACTATTCAGTCGAAGCAAAGTCGCGACTTACTCAAATCACTCGGATCACCATGGCATTAGTCCATTTAATAAAATTATCTCTTGAAAGGAGCCTGCGAGTTGTAATCCCACGTGCTCGTGCTGGTTTTAGAGGCGCCGAATCCGTGTGGCCTGCGGTCGTTAGCGCGCGCCTTCGTCCTCGCCGGCGTGCGTGAAAAGCGAGCAGCGCAGCGGCGGCGTGACTGCGACCGGCAGGCCCGCGCCGGGCGCGAGCGGCGGCGGCGGCGGCGCGGCGGCGGCGCGGCGGCGCCTGAGCGCGGGGGCGGCGGGGGCGGTTGCCCAACCGGGCGGTGGCGGTGGAGGTCCCGCCCGCCCGGCGCCGCCGCCTGCCGACGACACGACGCGCGGCCCGCGAGCAAAACAACCGAAAACAGGACACCGCCGCCGCGCGGCGCCGCCTCCGACGGAGAAACGCCGCGGAACAATGTAGCAAGGCGCAGGGGTGGCCACCGACGCCCACCTGCTCCGCCCGCGCCGCGGGGCGCCGCTTCCTCCGGGAGCACGCGTGGGCGGGGCCCTGCGCCGCGCATTCAAGTCTCCAGCCAAGGAGAGGATGCGTGCGGACCGGGAGAGGAGGCTCGCGGCATCAACGCTTGTCATTGCTGGATTGCCTCTGATCGCGAGGCCGGGAGCTCGAGTCCCGAGGGTGGCACAATTTTCGACATTTGCCATAGAGCTAGGTCGAGTTTTGTCGCTGTCTGGGGGAGAATTCTAGCGGTCGGTTGCTCAATCGGTAGTATTCCGTGGATTCTACAGTTAGTACCAGGCGAATACCAGAGCAGTACCCTAACAAACGGGCCACGGACCGCGCACGGTGTTTTCCTTCCCATTCCCTGTCCTATCCTGCCCCGCACACACACACACACAAACACACACACACACACGCCCTACACTACCACACATGTCGGGAGACAGGTGGAGAGCTTAGAGATTTTTTCGGCTGGTGCGGTGCTCCGCTGATGGGAGATACCTGATGTGGGATGACCTTGGCCGTTGACGTGCTCTGAGTAATTAGTAATTAATAAATAAATCATTGAGGTTCACGTCAAGAGCCCGAAAGTGCATAGAATTATAGAAGTGCTTGGTAGCATTTCAAGCATGTTGGCTCAGATCTATTTCTTTATCAGGTTTTCTCACATATTAATATTAGAAACAATATCGTGGCTGCTGAGCCAACATTTGGGTTACACAATTATTTTACTAATTGTTTCAAATACGATTAATTTTAAAGTTTAGTGACGAGAGTCAAGGAAAAGGTGAAGTGATAGCATTTCGAAGAACAAAGAAATATTTCGAAAAACTAGTGGAGTTGCAAGTCTCTCGATTATATTTGCTAACACGTTCATTATGTATGATGAGATCCGCAGCTTTAATTTATTGGGGTTTTGAGAGAGTAAAATGTACCAAGAGAATGTTATAATGAATTTGTTCCTTTATGACAAGATTTTGTGCTTAACAAAATTATATTATGGTTACCGCTTGATGCGTGCATATCAAAACAAACTATTTTCAAATTTTCCAGGAGATATTACGTTAATGAGCTCAGAAAATTATTCATTTTTATGTATTTTGTGCTTGTTTTGTCTCTTACTAAAGATGGCTATCTCATGACACACCAGCAAAGAAGAGTCATCATGTGAAGAGTTAATAAATATCTGGAGAAAAAGGCCACTTAATCTTGGATTGGTTGTAGTATTTGAGCAAAATAAAAAGCACCGTAAGCTCACATGTATAATGCCATCTGAAACAGATGTCCGCACACCAGGTGTCGTCAGGGTGTGACACAATCTTAGCGACTCCATTGCCTTCAACCTATTTTTTCTTGTGGGTATCCGTTTTCGGTTCAGCGCGCTCTCTAGCCTTCCAATGTTGTGCAGGACTCGAGAAAGGTCACCGTACGCACACACGCCTCGGAGCCACTGCACAGTGCGCCCAACCGGCGCCCAACATTTTCGGCACGCATTTCACCCAGCCACCGAAAACGTTTCAATTTACGTATCACAAAAAATGAAATGTATTAAACGCCATGGCACAGAAGGCTAGTTTTACATAAGTCACATAAAACCATATACAAGCTTACAATCATGGCTGTATGACAAGAGAAAATAGCAAGTTCCGTATAATTTGCAGTGCTTGAACCTACCATCGTCCAAGCGGATGAAGAAACATTACACAAAGCGATTTCCACTTATTACATTCCATTTTCATTTATTTCCTTCTTTCTTTCTTTTTTCTATCTTTCTATCTTTCCTTCCTTCCTAACCTTTTTCTTTCTTTCTTTCTTTCTTCCCTCTTCCTTCTTATCCTTTCCTTCATTTACCTTCTAACATTCTTTGTTTATTTTTCTTTCATCTTATTTCTTTCTTGTTTTCTATCTTTGTACACTTATTATTTCTTTTTCGCGCTGCGCGGGGCGTCTCCTGCGGGCCCTGCGGGCGCGGGGCGGGCGCGCCGACGGCGGCGCTCCGTATTCGGAAAGTCGCGCCCGCTATCAGCGGCCCAATCAGCGAGTGTGGTTTTCGGTGACCTGCGAGAGCCAATTGTGCCGCCTCTGTCGTTGCCTCCTTCGCCGCAGGAGATCTCAATGTCGCCTGCCGCGATTGTTCGCGCTCGCGCAATCTGCAGCCCACGCACGGGAAATGAAGAACTCGGGCGAGAGCAAAGGAATCGGCCGCCTATAACGTGAAATTGACTTCCTCATCATTTATTGCCTTATATTCATTTACATACGCAGTGTTTTTGATCATTGCAACTTGCGAGCAGTGCGATCATTAGTATTGTCAGAATAACACTTAATATTCATTAATTTGCTCATTGGATTGGTTTATTTTGCATTCACAATTTACTTTTAGACAGATAAGGAAGAAGAAAATAAGCAAATACGAACTCCTTGTAGAACGAAAGACGAATTCGGATGTATTCGGAGAAGAACGTTCTTTCATTGTACAATTAACGTAAAAGGTTAAATATGGATTATCTTTAGGTGCGAATGTAAATGCACATAGTACTCAAAGCTGATTTGACATCCTGTTTCTTCTATGTATTCTAATTTAAGGTGGCAGAGTAAACTGTGAAAAGTACACAGTTACAATTACATAATAAACATTTCATTTCATCTCAGTGCATTGGAAATTCTTTAAAAGATATCCTTGGCCTGGAAATTTCTTCCTAACGGTTAAAAACGAACCAATATTGAGTCGTATAGGACCTGTGAATGTGTTCTGAATCCCATTTCACCATGACCAAACGTCTGCATTAATTTTTCTTCGGTGCGCCTCTGTACCATATGACATGAATGCAGTTCGCGGCTGCCGCCTCCCACGCATCTCGTGGCCGGCGCCTCGCGCGCACGGCCGTCGCGGCAATGGCGGTGACCTTTGGCGGCGCTCTCTTGTGCAAGGAGCTATTACTCCCGCCCCCGCCGCCCCCGCCGCCGTCACGCGCGCGCCTCTGCGCTCCGCACGCTGCGAGTGGGAGCACTTCGTTAAAGCTATCCTCACTAGAAAACAACACCGATACCTCGCATATGACAGGGAAAAGAAATCAGTGGAATTCTCTACCCTTTTCTCTTGTTCGAGCTCTTGTTGCCAATCATCACATATGTGAGATATATGATGGGGGAAGGAAAAATCGAAATAACGAGGAATTCGTGTAATTCACATTCGAGTTATCGTGGTTTCATTGTATGAACCTTGTTATTTAAAGTTCATTTCAAGTCTCTACTGTAAAATTAGTGTTCACTATGTGTGTTGATTATTTTAAATGTAAGGAGCCGATGATCGCTGTATGCGTTGTAAATTGTAATATTTATGTATTTCTTACTGAATCTCCATGTCAAAGATTTTAACTGAAATTAATGTTCTGCTTCTGATTTTGTTGTAACTGCTTGAAAATCATAACCAAGGCCACGAATTTTCTTGTTAATTTAATATGAATTTCTTCGAATTATATTGCACTCATGATGTTTGGTCGGTAATTCAAATATTTTCTGTTCAGATCCAATTGACGCCCTTAGTTTAATTTCAGAAATCCAGATAACATTTGTCACAAATGTAGTTAGAAATAAACTTAACTATTTATTGAAAGTTTATTTCCCCGCATTAATATATTGAGAGTGAAATTATCTAATCATCTTGGTTATTTCTTATAGTATATGTTCAGTAACGTAGTACAAGAAGTGTGAGAATGGTACTATTTGAAAGTACTAAATGATTTCAAGTCTACGATTGAGTAGCAACGCTGCCCTCCGTGCAGGTGATTTCGTTGTGTTCTTCGAGAGGCCTCTTACGAAACTATTGTGGCAAGTGAAAGAGGCGAGTAGCTGTCTGCAAAGATGATTTGACAACTTCAGGTACCTCTTATAGGAGAAAAGACTCCCTTTCAGAGATGAATGGAAATTGAGGACATGGACAAAGCTACCGGTTTACTTTGAAACCATTTGAAGGCAAAATTCTTTGAACACAGTGTGAGACGATTAACTGTCTCTGAAATTTGAAATGGAACAAATGATAATGAAATGGAGTACTAATACTGTTTCCCAATACTATTGGGTGTTTGTTTTGAAAGTAACACTAATTATTATTTTCATTCTTATATTAAAATGATATTTTTAACAATACAGCACTTATCGAACTTTATGGCCCTCAATTTAACGAATTTTGATATTGTGAAAAATTTCCAAAAAGATGTTATTAAATTTCTCCGTTTAATTTCTATGATTACGAAAGTTTGGACTTTGTTGTGCATAATGAGAATGTGTCATAATCCTCCCCCTTCATCGCACTCCTTTGATGGTTAGCTGCATTTTCTCCCGCGGCGCCAGTCAGCGGCGATCGGCGTGGCGGCCAGAGGCATAAAGCCCGTGTTCGGGAGTGGAGCGTGCGCCGCGCGTGGCCTGGAGGTCACGCTCGCGGTGCGTGCGGGCGGGCGATGGCGAAAGAGCCGAGCCACTCGCCCCTCCGTTTCCAGCCGTGTTCGTAAGGAGGGCGTGGCTTGGGTGCATTGCGGGACGATTTCGTTGTCTTAAAGAACATTGGAGGAAAAGGAGGAGAACAAGAATAAGACGAGAATGCTGGAGCTAACGCTGTGGGGATCAATTTTGGAGGTGTGATGCTTAAGTGCTTTTCCTTCATTGGACTGTGCAGGCCCCAAAGTTCCCCACGAGGAGTGGTATTTCGCGTCTTCCATCACTACCTCGTCGCGGCACCATTTAGTTCCCAGCAAAGGATTCTCCGCAATGGGGGCGCTTCTTGATTCTCTTTGGGAATAGGATGCTTCGTGACAAGCGAAAAAACTTCAAGATCAGAATATAGGCTGTCGGAAAACACAAGATATATTTCATATATTGAAGCTTCGTACCAAGGAGATATGTTTGATCTTGGTACTTCAGGAAAAAACCTCTTCAAACACTTGGTTCAAAGTTAGGTGTTAAATGGATAGTTATTCGTTTTGCTTTTGAAAAACAATTATTTTTACTTTTTTTATTTGTATATCTGTGTGTAATTATAATTTACTCCCTTTCCCGGACCTCACCATTACCGGGAGGTAATTCACACATGGTGTACTCGATGTTTTGTTATTTCACACATTTTCAAAACAGTTCAGTTTTCTTATTGCCTTTATCACATGTCAACACGTGTATATCCCCCAAATGTTATTCCGTAAGAAAAAATTGACTTTTTTATATCATCTATAATCACAAAGTGCATTAATGTGCTACTGGTGGTTACAAAATTACTTCTATTGCCAAGAGTGCAACAAACAGATCAAAATGAAAACAGTTCTCAGGTTATGATTTAAGAAAAAACGCCAACGCACATTCACCCGCAACACACATTGCGCTACAACACACATTCCAGTTAGTATAACCCGGAAGCCTTGCATTCTGTACCTTTTAGACAGTTTTCTATCACCAGTTTTTGGATGATCTATAATATTTTCTTGCAGTATCCTTATTGCTGTTGCAAGAAAATATATGAAGCTATTTTTACTTAAAACAATGGTTTAAAAAGTATTATGTTTTGACAATTGCATATTTTGTTGCAATATTGCGATATTTTGGGCACTGATTTAATTTTGAGTTTTGACTTTATGTACTCTAGCTACTCAGACTTCCTAGATTCACACTGTGTTATCCGTTTCCGTTAGGTTTATTAAAGTATTTGTAACAAAAAGTAGGATATTGGAGTTGTGATTCAAGAAAATTGCACTAGTCGAAAACAATTACGACAGGAAAATTCATAAACTCGAATATAAAAAATCAATCGAAATTCCAGAGTCGACAAAAACGGTATTTCAGACATCCAGAAAATCCTCTTGTTTATTGTTTGACAAGTTAAAAAGACGTAATTCCGGAAACTATCTATTCCTTGAGACATCTGTTCACAAAATTCGTTGAGCTTTACGGGCACGTCACCCCACTTCCTGAGCGAACTGCACCAATGGCAGCGAAGACGCGCATGCGTACTGCGCACGCCCCATCTAAAATGCGGTTCAGATCTTGCGTGTAGATTTGTAGCAGAGAACACGACTTCTTCTCGGCAGACGTCGTCCAAATTTATTGCGTGTGGGTTTCGGTCATTCACAAGATAGCATCAAGAGCACACACAGTTAGATTTTGAACATACAAGCATCGCATTAAGTAGAATAATATTATAAATGGCGAATGTCTGTCAGTTTTCTATTTGAGTTGCAATAATGTTTATAAATATCGTACGAGAACTCAGCAATTAATATTTCTCCTTAGAGTTTTTCTAATATTATTTACGGCTTCTAAACGCTTATAAATATTTTGTGGTGGACATAAAGCAGTAAATTGTTCTAATATTTCTTGACAAGTGACATTTATTTTACATATGCTTTTCATAATTATTAACTATTATCTTTATTTTAATGTTTCAGAAAATGCTGCTTTGGTGACTGCTGAGCGCTGAGAATGTAATATAAAATCATCGGTTGCAGAAGAGACCGTAAGTTTTTTTTATCTGAAAGTTTCTCTGTTCGCTATTAAATATTTTACAATATTTTTAATATTGTGTATATTACATGAAACGAGAAGTAGTAAACACAATTGTGATGAAATGAAATTGAATTGCAATTAAGAAAACAGAAATTACTAGTTGAGAAACTCTGTATGTCAGGAAGAGTTCTGAATGTGCCATCGAGAACTTCAAAATCATTGATTCCATACCGGCGTAACGTTTGCTGCAACAATACATACGGTAGGTTACATGCGGCAAGGCGGTGTGGGAGGGCAGGTGGCCTGGTTTCGTAGGCCCTCGTCATCGACGAAGAACTCGACCAGTTGTGAAATGACGTGCGTCTCCCTGCCACAGCGATCGGCAGACGCCACCGCCGCCTCTCCGGGGCGCCCGCCCCGCTCCACCCCGCCACCCCGTCCCGTCCCACCGCGCCCCGACTCGCATAACCGCGCACAGCCCTGCCAAGGTCCTCCTTGCATGCTCTACTCTGCTCCCTGCCGCCTCGCGCCACCCGCGGCCCGCCCTAGCCACCCATCCACACCACCCCGTCACGCCTCGCCCAGCCCACTCTACACCACACCGCATAGTACTGCCCTGCACTGCTCTGCTCCGGAGCTCCGCCCCGCCCCGCCCCGCCCCGCCCCCCCCGCCCCGCCCCGCCCCGCCCCGCTCCGCGCCGCCGGGGTTTCGGCCTTCTGCGCGTGATTTGCGGGCGCGCGTAGGGTTACCCGCCGGGCGACGGCTTGCGAAAGCAGGCGCGCGCGGGCTGGCGCGGGCGGGAAGGCGAGTATCCCAGCGCCACCGCGGCCGTGAACCGTTTGGGTTTCACAGAACGTCTAATTCTGGACCGCGACCTCCTTCTCAGGTGGCCGGGAGTATATCGTGCAGGCCTCACAACGAAACGTAATCCCTCGTGTTATTCGCCACTCGAGGGTTAGCTCGTGGTATAGTCGTGCGTGTTATTTTGGGAGAAGGAAGAGTGTTTGACTGCCTCCTGTCAGATGTAAAGCAACGGAGGGGGTTCACGTATCTGATATCAAGAGATGTTTTCATTTGAGTCTTCCGGAATTTGAAGATGAAGGAACAAATTTCCAAACATTGCAGTTCTTCTGCAAACCAATAGTTACTAAATAGTATTTGAGTGCTTGCGTGAAAAAGAGGATAAATCATGTTTCTATACGCAATGAATTACGTCCTCTAACACCTTGAGTAGTTTTCAGAGTCTTTGATACCGGAAAATTGCAAAACGTTTGTACGTCTGTCAGCGTTTTGTCAATACCAGCGCCTAAACCGTTCAGATGAGTTTATCCAAAATTGATATTTTCTGATGGATCTAAATGAACTCAATGTCCTGGGAGATTGAAACGGGTATTTTGATCTTCGGAGTACTTTATATAATGCCTCAATATTTTCAAAATTGTCTCAATAATGACTAATTTTTCTTATTAAAATTTGTCTTCATAGAACGTAAATGATGCTTAATAGCAGCGCTATTCTCATTTTAGTTGAAATGCATAAATTTTATAAAATTGCAAATATTCAAATGTCTTACTACTACAACAAAGTTAGAGATTTTTACCGTAAAGAAATCTAGTACTTAAAGATAGATATTGAGGTAACTTCCTAAAAAAAATTATTTTTATTTGTTTATGTTTAATTAAATATTTTCCATTTTGGTGATAAACAAATACCTAGTTTTCAACTTAATGCATTTTATTTTTAAAATGTATAAAACGAAGTTGTTTCCATGCTTAAATATGCCTCAGATTTCATTTTCGTTGAACTCTCTAAATTTTAGGGTATAGAAAAATTTGGTAATAATACAAGGAAGTATGCACTGCAACAAAATATGAAGTTTTCACGTAATTTTGCTGAAAGTAAAGCAATTTGAATTAATACAAAGTGGCACAGATTTTCTCTCCTACTAATTAGTTTCCTTCTCTGTTCAGTCTGGGCTAGCTTTTCCGTGTTGTCTTGTCTCCATCCCAGACGCCATCTCTTTCAGCCAGGTCATATCTTCACATTTTCTCATTTTTCGTTCCCCTAATGATATAATTTCTATATGGTTTGACGAATACAAGTAGAAGAGGAAGAACGGTAAGGAAGAAATCTGGCCCGCCACGCAAATTTTCCAAAAACGTCATTGGAAATCATTTGAAGTACTTCTGCTCACAAATACAATAAGAATAATATGTACAAAAACGTCCGTAATGTAAACATTCACGACGTAAGATAACGTCGGTTGTCATTTATTTGTTACTTGTCATTGTCTCGCTGTTTTGTACGAGTTCTTACTGTTGTCTCCATTTCAGACACGATTTTGATTGTACAGTATTAGACTGCGGGACAGGAACACGCCTGTCATCTTAATACCACCTAACAATCAACAGAGGTATCATAGTAGAATGACGATAATCCGGATTATTTGGAACCGAATAGCTTGTGGATTATCAAATGATCTGGATATTTGAAATGAAGCAATTGTGACGAAGCCCGTAGACTCACACGAAGAGAGATGCGAAGTGGCCTTTCGTAACTTGACATGACAGGGTTTTGGACCTAGAAGCGAGAATACGACTACAGAATTGATCCTATGTGCAGCCGCAGCCGCAGCCTGTGTCCGTTGCTTCCGTCACCGCCTCCCGTCCCGCCCACTCAACGGGCCAAGTGGACCGGCGCAATAGAAGCTCCACATACGAACGCTGATTGTCGCTCGTTGCTCGGACGCGGAAGCTGGTGGGCTTGGCCACTGCGACCACCACAGCGCCCATGATAATCGCAGGAAGGGCCTTACGCTGAAGCTTATAATAAACTGATAACTAATCCGGTGGTCTTCAACGTAAAACACTATTTTGCTCAAACCGTTCATGATTCACGGTACAGAAGTGAAGTCTATGAATAAAATAAATAATGTAGTAAAATGTTTGTTTTTAATTACAGAATGATCTGATTCACTTACTAACAGATGGTTTATTGTGTATTCAGTAGTCTAGGTCTGCAAGTACTCTACAGTAATAAAATGGTGTACCTACAGCAAATCATTCAGTAAAATACAGAAATAGATCCGACTCCAGATAGGCAGCATTTCGGATTTTTGCCGTCCGAATTATTGACGCTCTACCGTATGCATGTCAGGGTCGCGGGCAAGGTAACTGACATGCCTAGTGTTCGTAAGTAAGGGTTGTACAATACTTCGGAGTGGCGGTAGGTCACTGAATATCTTGCCTGTTGCTTTTGGAGAAGTCAGTCAACAGTTATAGATCAAAATTTAGCTACGTTAATTTCCATTTCCCCTACTAAACCCAAGAACTGATCCATTACAATGAAATAATACATAAGTGAGATTTTAAATTGTCAAATGAGAGTAAAATTAAACATTTTTAATCCCAAGTATCTTGATTTTGTAATTTGGTTACTAATAGTGCAATAAACGCTTTAAAGTTCTATATTGCGGTTATCAGGTTTAACATACAAAGATCGTTGTCTGTTAAAAGTTCTGTCCATCCACGAGCGAAAATTGTTAATTTATGAGACTTGTTTATTTATTTCACATTATTGCTATATACAAAAATAACTGATTGATTTAATAAAACATAAAAAACAAGGACAGGATTCTCCCCTCTAGCTCGAATTGAGCCGCCATCTGGAGAAGATTCCGAGCGGCCGGCTTCTCCCATCGGTGAATTTTCGTCCTTCCTTCGATCAGCACCTGGTGAATGCCCGAGCAGCCACCTAACAAACGGGTCATGGACTGTGCGTGATCCTTGCCTTATCCTCACCCACTACTAACACACACACAAACACACTTACGTGCACTACACTAATACTCATGATGGCAGACCAGTCGGGAACTGAGAGATTGTCCCGGCTGGGGCGATGCCCCGCTGGTGGGAGATACCTGCTTATGAAAACCCAGCTAGCTGGCGTGTAGGTCGGAGCCGAAACTCACCAACACGCGGGAGTTCATCACCGCCACCTCCCATGCCAAAAAGAAAACACGCGCTACCCTTCCAGAAGTAATGACCATAGCAGCTGATGCGTCGGGAAACACGATAGCATCAGTCAGTGGTGGAGGTGAGCCCAGAGCATGGCGCCCCGCGCTCTCGCCAGGCCTGCTCTCTGGCCGGCGCGGCGCGGCGCGGCGCGGCCTCGCGGCGAGCGGCGCAAAGTTCAGGCCGCGCGACCTGCTTTTCCGCCTTAAAAATTCCGACGTTTAGCGATCGGTCGTGTGCCTCGTTGCGGTGCGGGTGTTGCCGCCACGAGCGCTGCTTTGCGTTGCCTCACGTCACCTTTCCGCGGGCGCCGCGCCGCGCCGCGCCGCGCCGCCCAGCCAGCCAGCAGGCCTCGCGGCCGTGCTCCGGGACGAGGCGGCGAGTTCAATGCTCCCAATCGGAGGAGGTTTTATTTGCGCCAGCGCTCTAATAGCTCTGATCAGCTTGTTCTTTTCTAGGTGCTTGCAAAGATTGTTTTGTGTAGGTCAGTGTGGGGCTAGTCTGCGTAATATGAAAGCATGTACAAGAGATTTAAACCGGACTTGAGTGAGCCACAATACGTAGGGAGAAGTGGCAACGAAATAATTTATTTTTGCTGTCCTTGGAATGAACTTTAGATTTTGCAATTGCGAATTTGCATGTAATCAAATTAGTGTTTAAGTAAGTCATATAATTACTTTCTAATATTAGGCAATAATTATACATCATCATTGACTTAAATTATTTGGAAGTTTTGGGCGTACATTTTGTATACTTTTGTGATTTTCGAAGTACGAGAACGAAATAAGTTGAATGAATAGTGGATTCACCGTGTATTCAATGTGGGAGATTATTTCTTACTCCACACTGCCACAATCCAATAAGGTGAGCGACATACTGTTATGCTTGCTTACGGTATTTTTATTCCTTAATTCTTATTCCATCGGTATACGTGCGCACATTTCACGCGTATTATACACTATAAATAACTGTACACAGACGTCGTTTACAACAAATAATATGCTTTAATAGGAAGAGCGTTTCTTACTGTTTGCTACCTGGGATGCGAAGACGTATAGTGGACATGCACTAAACACTAACACACTCGCGGGCTCGTCTGATCTGGGGTCATCAGAACACGAGGCCGTCCGCGACAACCCGTACTTCAGAGACGAGGGACAAACTACCATGCCCAAGGCGGGACTCGAACCCGCGGTCCTTCGGACCGAAGCGCTGAGTGTGTACACGCTCTTAGCCGCCTCGACCATCCAGCTCAACAAATATTATAGTCTACTTTAAATATATTCGAAATGTTGAAGTTATTTGCTGAGAAGACTGTCCAGGAACGCTCGACATCCTTGGCATATCGTGGTATCTGATCGCATTTACGCCGTGCTATTGTTTTGGAAGTGCACGACATTTTGAATGACCCGCGTAACCTTCGCAAATGTAGTCTCTACTTTCTGTTACATTATTCTGCCTGGCAATTTTTCTCTCAGAGCCATGTA